CGGCACTCTACCCAGGGGGACAGCTTGAGGCTCTGTCTCAAAAAAAAAAAAAAAAAAAAATTAGTAGAGACAGGGTCTCACTTTTGCTCAGGCTGATCTCAAGCTTGTGAGCTCAAGAAATCCAGGTTTAAAAAGATCTCCGTTACCAAAAAGCTAATGATGAGTACCGCATTAATCCTGAATATTTTCTCATTTTAAGTCTATTCCAACTTAATGCTTTCAAATACTTTTGTTATACTTAAAATTCAGTATTTGTGACATACTACTAAGGTACATTGGACTTTATTGCAAGAATCCAAAATATTGGTGGCGCCGGTTGCTCAGTGGGTAGGGTGCCGCCCTCATACACCCAGGCTGGCGGGTTTGAACCTGGCCCAGGCCAGGTAAACAACAATGAAAACTGCAACAATAAAAAGTAGTCGGATGTTGTGATGGGCACCTGTAGTCCCAGCTACTTGGGAGGCTGAGGTAGGAGAATCCCTTAAGCCCAAGAATTTGAGGTTGATGTGAACTGTGATGCCATGGTATTCTACTGAGGGTGACTTAGTGAGACTCTGTCTCAAATAAATAAATAAATAAATAAAGAGGTCAGTGCCTGTGGCTCAGTGGGTAGGGCACTAGCCCCTTATACCGAGGGTGGTGGGTTCTAACCCAGCCCCAGCCAAACTGCAACAAAAAAAATAGCCGGGCATTGTGGCAGTGCCTATAGTCCCAGCTACTCAGGAGGCCAAGGCAAGAGAATTGCCTAAGCCCAGGAGTTGGAGGTTCCTGTGAGCTGTGACGCTACAGCACTCTACCGAGGGTGATAAAATGGAAATCTCTGTCTCTAAAAAAAGAAAAAATCCAAAATGTTTATTAACTCCTTTATTTTTTTTTTTTTTTGTAGAGACAGAGTCTCACTTTATCACCCTCAGTAGAATGCTGTGGTGTCACAGCTCACAGCAACCTCCAACTCCTGGGCTTAGGCAATTCTCTTGCCTCGGCCTCCTGAGTAGCTAAGACTACAGGCACCCACCACAACACCCAGCTATTGTTTTGTTGCACTTTGGCCAGGGCTGGGTTTGAATCCGCTACCCTCAGTATATGGGGCCAGCACCCTACCCACTGAGCCACAGGTGCCACCCTTAATTAACTCCTTCTATTTACTTTCTTTCTGCAATCTAATAGAAATTAGTCCTTTGCCTGTCCTTCATTGCTACTTAAAAACCAAACAAATATCTTTTCAATAGATTTGAAATCAAGAAAAAACTAAAAACAGCCAAAAAGAAAGAAAAGAAAGAAAAAAAGAAAAAGCAAGAAGAGGAGCAGGAAAAGAAAAAGCTGACACAGATTCAGGAATCTCAGGTAGGAGATTATTTGGTTCTCATTTGTCTGGAGTGTAAACCTCCCTTTTGATTGAGAGAGAGAGAGAGAGAGAGAGAGAGTGTGTGTGTATGTGTGTGTGTGTGTGTGTTTGCACGCGCCTGCGCACCTTTTTTTTTTTCTTAAGGGGCCTTCTTTCTTTTATTGAGTGTTTTGTTTTGTTTTGTTTAGCAGGTCCCTTCCCACCAGCCCCAGTGCTCTAACCATTGAACTATGGGCACCCAGCTGTGTGTGTGCCTTTATGTGTCTGTTTAGCTAAAAGATGGCTTTATGCTAATCACCTGAAGTTAATACAAAATTGATATGTGCCATCTCCACTTTGTAGGTTTCGTTAATCTCTGGATAGACCTTATGATTTCACCAATATCTGCACTATTTAACTCCTTAGCACTTCTTTATTTTTTTGTTGGTTTTTTTTTTTTCCTTTTTTAAAAAATGAGGGTTCTTTGTTTTTTCTTTTGTTTTTTTGCACTTTTTGGCCACGGCTGGGTTTAAACCCGCCCTCTTGGGCATATGGGGCCAGCGCCCTACTCCTCTGAGCCACGGCACCACTCAAAAAATGAGGCCTTAAAAAAAAAGGTGTTGCTATGTTGACCATGGTAAAATGCAGTGACTATTCAAAGGTGTGATCAGAGTTCACTGTAGTCTCAAAGTCCCAGCCTCAAGGGATCCTCTTACCTCAGCCCCCCAAATAGCTGGGACTCCAGGCACATTCCTCCATGTCTGGCTTTCACATACAAGTTGGGATTTAAAAGCAGCAGGATAGGTGCCAGGTGAGGTGGCTCACGCCTGTAATCCCAGCACTTGGGAGGCTGAGGTGGGTGGATTATCTGAGCTCACAGGTTCAATACCTGCCTGAGCCAGAGCAATACCCCATCTCTAAAAATAGCCAGGCGTTGTGGCAGGTGCCTGTAGTCTCAGCTACTCGGAAGGCTGAGGCAAGAGAATTGCTTATAGCCTAGGAGTTTGAGGTTGCTATGAGGTATGATGCCAAGGCACTCTACCAAGAGTGACAAAGTGAGACTTTGCTTCAAAAATAAAAAAGAAAGCAGCAGGATGGACTGTGCTTATTCCCTTTCACACCCGTAATCCTAGCACTCTGGGAGGCCAAGGTAGGTGAATCACATGAGTTGTTGAGTTCAGGACCAACCTGAGCAGGAGTGAAACCCCATCTCTAAAAGCCAGGCTTTGGGGTAGACACTTAGAGTCCCAGCTACTTGGGAAGCTGAGGCAAGAAAATCACTTGAGTCTAAGAGTTTGAGGTTACTGTGAACTATGATGCCATGGCATTCTACCCAGAGCAGCAGCATGAGACTCTGTCTCAAAATAAATTAATGAATAAATAAAAGCAGCAGGATGTGTGTGAGCATCCCTTAAGAGTCGATAAACACGGCTCGGCACCTATAGCTCAACCGGCTAAGGCGCCAGCCACGTACACCTAAGGTGGCGGGTTCGAATC